GGGCAGAGCACAGATATCCCTTTGTGTAGCTTTGTGCTTAATAAACAAACAACAGCCATTTTGGAATCAATTTTATAGCATAATAATTCTCGATTCTCTAGTTCCAGGAAATATTTTCTAAATCACCTTTATTTATATCTTCTATATATTCACAAAATTATGGCTGGTTTACGCACTACTCTATAACAAATAAATGACATACGTAAATTATTGAACCACTTTCGTAATTGAATACAAAAGGAACAACAGATAAAGAGTTGTATTTCTGACACGTAAGAGACTGGCGTCTGAAGTTATCCACTAGTTTAGATAGGGTTATGTGAAGGGCAATGCAAATAAGACGAAGGTGCAGGATATGTCAATGTTACATGCCCGAATAACCATCGCAATTGCGACAATTACTCCGGAGATGTAGGCACGAACGTGGGTGAAGATCGATTATCGCCTGGACATCCTTCAAGCCATGAATAGTTCTCATGTCGACGTAAACTAATGGCGCCACTGACCATGCACAAACCTGAGATGCTGGCTTCCATTATACGCCAATTGTTTATCTTACGTCATTTCTCATTCTGTTATATCAATAATGTGATTTAATAGCTTATGGACGAACTGTATATATATATTTTCATGTAAAATAATTTGGTATAGGTGGTAAGTTCGTACGAATGCTTTGAAAATACGTTAGAATCCGTCATTTTAATATCTAAAACACAGTAAAATTTGTGATATATTGGATGTTAATTCTTCCTTCTTGATAAAGTCAATTTAAGATCAGAAAATTAAGTTTTAGTTTGTTTTTTCTAACGAGCCATGTTTTCGGTTTTATTTGTGAAAACTTATTGTATATCCAAGAAACAATTAAAAATTTCTGATCAATTTTGCTACCGGTAAGTCTACGGGCTTATAACGCACAAATCAGGTTTAAATACCCGCGGTGAGCAGAGCAGGGATAGCTTATTGCGTAGATTTGAGTTTAAACAAACAAACAAACTAGTCAATTTTAATTAGATATTATGTACTGGCTCATTATGAGTGTTATAAGGATTTGTAATAGTGTCTAAGGCCACTGTATGTTTTCCTAAGTCAAACAGTATTTTTTAATGCACAAATCCTAAAAGGTACATCAGTGATATCTCTGACTCCCGGATCACCATTTCTAATTCCGTGGAGGTTTTTGTGTGTTTTGACCAACTTTGATAAACCTAATACGAGATACCACTTAAAAAATTTTAAGAAAACTCGACGTTCTTTACCAACTCGACCTTAAATACAAAGGTTTCTTTCATCGCTCAGAATGCGGCATTTTCCTAACCACAGTTTAAACGTAACTTTAGTGTTTAAAGAGAATCACTATGCATGTGTATACATTTTCTTTATAAGTGTTTCAAATGTTCTCCCTCACCGACATTCAGTTTTCACTAATTCCAAGTAGTGTTTCGTCAAGGGCCAAGAGACAAGTTTTGCGGACAAAGAGATTTACGGTTTGTTTGTAGTTATGCACAAAGCTACACAATGGACTATCTGTGATCTGCCCACCACGGGTATCGAAACCCGGTTTTTAGCGTTGTAAGTCCGCAGACAAACTGCTATGACACTGGGGAGGGGCGTGATTTACGGAAGCTTGTTTTGAATATTTCGGGAATTTATAGAATTTGTTTTGTTTATTTGGAATTAAGCACAAAGATAAACAATGAGCTATCTGTGCTTTGCCCACCACGGGTATCGAAACCCGGTTTTTGGCATTGTAAATCCGAAGACATACTGCTATGACACTGGGAGGCGTTTATAAAAATAAACTTGACAGTGACGAAGGAACAAAAGTTTCCTTTAAACACGTCAACGAGTCACTGTCAAGTTTGTACTTTAAGTATCTACTGACATCTTGAACGAGTAGTGAGAATCACAAACTACCATCGCTTTCAAGTTCAGCTTTAAGTGTAATACTCAAGTGACCTCTATACATCAAAATCATATTATACTACATACTTAACTCACTTTTCTGGCATACTAGAAGTGTTGCTATTTCAATCATATTTCTATCTTTTTAAACAAAATGATGATGTGAATAAAATACGCATCAACAGCGTAACGTTGGTTTCAAAAGTGTGTGTGTGTGTGAGAGAGAGAGATTGTTTGGTTGTTGTTTGTTTTTAATTATGCACAAAGCTACACAAGGGCTATCTGTGCTCTGCCCACCACAGGTATCGAAACCCGGTTTCTAGCGTTGTAAGTCCGCAGACATACCGCTGTGCCACTGGGGGGCTTGTGTGAGAGAGAGAGGGAGGGACAGTGTCTCGTAGCTAGGGTATGCATGGAGGTATTTTATCAAAAATACAAAAACGTCCTTTAAGGAGTGTGGGAGACATGACCCCTTGTCCTTCCATCGTGTAAATTACGCCTATGCAGGATACTGAAAGGATCAATAAACAAACGATGTAACTTCATTTAGAGATAGTTTTGTAATGTTATTTGCATGAGATCTATGGAAAGAATATTTAACACTACAGCACTATCTGTGATAAATTAAAAAAAACAAAAACATCCTGCACCATGTACAGACTTTCCAGGATAAAACTTATGATTCTCAAGGGGATTCTGGTAAAATTTACTTCTTCTAGAAAAAGTAGTTTTCAAAATATAATCATTTTAAATACGAGGATAATAACCATGTATACATACACGTGTTAGATCTCGTTCGGTAATATATATTTTAAACTATTTTAAAGCCTACAATGAAAATATACAGTTAGCTTTACATGAATTTGAAAATTTATTCTTATGTAAATTTATTTTACTTTTTGACAAGATTCGACGGTTATTAATCTCGTTTCCTGATATAATTTTCGGCGGATCTTGAAATTTCCTTAAAAATATCAAGTGTCGTTCTGACAATGATCGCTATTGTAAACAACAACAATAATAACAATATTAAGCCTTACTTTTTTACAAACTTTAAAATGGTGAGAGAAGTATGGTTAAATATGTCACCGGCCTGCCACTTTTATTTTTATTTAAGTAAACATGAAACCATAGTTATACTGATTATCTGCGATACTTCATATACATTATTTATGAGTTTATTTCATTCTAAATAATAAAAAAATAAACTTGAAACTTTTAAACTCCACATAAAAAAAGGATCTGATATAAATGTATAAGACGTAAAATTTCAAACATTCTAACAAGAAACAATTTTTCAAGCAAATTCTACTCTGTGCAGGAATATCGACGCACTTACACTAAAGTTTGTGGAATTACAACGCTATAATCCGGGGTTTGATTCCCGCGGTGGACAGAGTGCAGATAGCTCGTCGTGTAGCTTTGCGCTAAAACAATTACAACAATAACAATAACACAAACGAGGAAACAGCGCCATACTTAAAATCTTTCTCCTTTATTAGCCCCCCAGTAGCACAGCGGTACGTCTGCGGACTTACAACGCTAGAAACCGGGTTTCGATACCCGTGGAGGGCAGAGCACAGATAGCCCATTGTGTAGCTTTGTGCATAACTTCAAACAAACATCCTCCTTTATTAATAGTTCAACAAATCTTGAGTCATTACATTCATAAGTTTAACGTTTTGGTACATTTTTCTTAGAAGTTAGGACCGTTTCTAATTTCATGAAAGGGAAAACTAGCTCTTAAAGTCAATAGAAATAAAAATAAAATAAAATGGTGAGATCGACCCCAAGCTTCTCTGTAGGAACTAGTTTACGTTTTCCACGCAAAGTTGATTTTAAATGTTTGTACTCATTTTTTGTATTTTTTTTTTTTATAAAAAGACGTTCTTCCTTAGTATGAAGAATAGAT